TGATTGTTGTTGACGACTTCTCGCGCTACACCACGGTCTTCCCCTTGCGCGCCAAGGGTGACGTCCCTGATGTCTTGATCCCTTGGATCCGCAGATCTCGTCTCCAGCTCCGTGAGCGTTTCCGCTCCGACTTCCCTGTCCTGCGTCTGCACTCTGACAGAGGTGGGGAGTTCTCCTCTGGCCTATTGGAGGCCTTCTGTCAGCAGGAGGGCATTGAGCAGTCGTACACGCTTCCGGACTCTCCACAGCAGAATGGGGTTGCTGAGCGCCGCATTGGTCTGGTCATGGAGGTCGCTCGTACCTCCTTGAGCCATGCGGCTGCCCCCCATTTTCTGTGGTCGTTTGCAGTCCGATACGCTGCGCATCAGCTCAACCTCTGGCCCCGTGTCTCCTTGCCCGAGACTTCTCCGACACTGCGCTGGACGGGAGAGGCTGGCGATGCGTCGCGTTTTCGGGTCTGGGGATCCCGAGCTTTTGTCCGCGACACGTCCGCGGACAAGCTCTCCCGTCGCGCTGTCCCCTGCGTCTTCCTTGGCTTTGTCCCGGACGCCCCTGGTTGGCAGTTCTACCACCCCACCTCGCGGCGTGTCCTGGCCTCTCAGGACGTCACTTTTGACGAGTCCGTCCCCTACTACCGCCTCTTCCCCTACCGCACTGCCCCGCTCCCCCCCCCGCCTCTCTTCCTCGCTCCAGGTGCTGAGGTACCAGACCCCCTCCCCCCTCAGGGTGCCGCTCCCTCAGGTGTGTCCCAGGTAGACCCGGGTGAGCCTGTCGAGGTGGCTGTTGACTCTCGTCCTGCTAGGGGTGCTGAGCCTGGGGGTGCTGCGTCTGGGGGTGCTGAGCCTGGGGGTGCTGCGTCTGGGGGTGCTGAGCCTGGGGGTGCTGAGTCTGGGGGTGCGGAGCCTGGAGGTGCTGAGCCTGGGGGTGCTGAGTCTGGGGGTGTTGAGTCTGGGGGTGCTGAGCCTGAGCTTGCTACACCTGGAGGAGCCCTCTCCTCCCAGCAGCTGCAGGAGAGGTACCTCGAGTACTGCCGCCTCCGGAGAGGTGCTGCTGGAGCTCGTCCCGGTACTTCCCCTCCTACCCAGGAGCTCCCCCCCATTCAGCAGATCCGCGAGTGGTACACACGGCGCTGCAGTCTTCGGAGTGGTGCTCCTGGTGCTGCGGACCCTGGGGGTGGCGCTGCTGCTGGTGTTGAGGACCCGGACGTTGGAGCTGCTGCTGGTGCTGCGGACCCGCCTGGTGGAGCTGCTGCTGGTGCTGAGGACTCGGACGTTGGAGCTGCTGCTGGAGCTGAGGACCCGAGCGGTGGCGCTGCTGCTGCTGCTGAGGACCCGGGCGTTGGAGCTACTACTGGTGCTGAGGACCCGCCTGGTGGAGCTGCTGCTGGTGCTGAGGACTCGGACGTTGGAGCTGCTGCTGGAGCTGAGGACCCGAGCGGTGGCGCTGCTGCTGCTGCTGAGGACCCGGGCGTTGGAGCTACTACTGGTGCTGAGGACCCGGACGCTGCAGCTCTTACTGGTCCTGAGGACCCGGCCGCTGGAGTCTCCTCTGCTTCTGGAGACGCTGCGCGGCCGCGACCGTACTTCGTACCGCTCCTTCAGCAGGTTCTTGGGCAGGCTCCTCCTCCTTGTCCTCCTCCCTCCGTAGAGTGTCCTCCGCCTGTCCAGCCGCAGTCACAGTTACCGCCTACCTCGCCTCTCCCTGCTCCCTCTCCTTACACTGGTCCCACAGGAGGTCTTACAGAGCGTCGTGAGCCTGAGTCTCGTCCTGCGTCGCCTGTTCGTCCTGCTCGCACTGGTAGTCGTGTCCGTCGTGAGCGTCCTCCTCCTGTCCCAGGCACTCACTACATGACTCTGCGTCCCTCTACTGCTCCTCAGCGTGTCCCTCTACCGTCACCTCCTGCGTCCTCTTTGCCTGACGTTCCGGACCCTGAGTCTGACCGGTATCGTGCTGAGCACCCTACTGTCACGCGTCTCCTCGCTACTGTTGTCACTGACCCTACCTTTGAGTCCTCGGCTGCGTCTGCTCTGGTCGCTGAGTTGGTTGACTTTGCTGCTGCCTGTCGTCTAGACTACGCTGCTAGCCTTGTTGCTGAGTCTGCGTCTGAGTCTGTCTGTCCTCCGTCCGTCGAGGGTGAGTGTGCTCTTGGCACGGACGTCCTTGAGGACAGACAGGAGGAGTTCCAGTGTCTTGCTGCTGCTTTGCCCCGTCTCGTGTCCTTGCTAGCTGCCCCTGAGGGAGACCCGGATGCACCAGACATCCCGACCCCGCGCTCTTACGCAGAGGCGATGGCAGGTCCCTACTCCTCTCAGTGGCAGACAGCTATGGACGCAGAGATGGCTTCCTGGAAGTCCACACGCACCTACGTCGACGAGGTTCCCCCTCCTGGGGCGAACATCGTCAGTGGCATGTGGATTTTCAGGGTGAAGCGGCCGCCGGGTTCTCCGCCTGTCTTCAAGGCGCGTTACGTGGCTCGAGGCTTCAGTCAGCGAGAGGGAGTTGACTTCTTCCAGACCTTCTCCCCCACCCCGAAGATGACTACTCTTCGGGTGCTGCTGCACATAGCCGCTCAGCGCGACTACGAGCTTCACTCACTTGACTTCAGCACTGCTTTCTTGCAGGGCAGCCTGCACGAGGAGATCTGGCTGCGCCGCCCACCTGGCTTCACTGGGTCGTTTCCTCCTGGTACCCAGTGGAGGCTTCAGCGGCCGGTCTACGGTCTCCGCCAGGCTCCGCGTGAGTGGCACGACACACTGAGGACTACACTTGCGGCTCTTGGGTTCGCGCCTTCTACAGCTGACCCGTCGCTGTTCCTGCGCACCGACACTTCGCTGCCGCCGTTCTACATCCTCGTATACGTCGACGACTTGGTCTTTGCCACTGCTGACACTGCAGGACTCGCCTACGTGAAGTCGGAGCTGCAGAGGAGACACACGTGCACAGACCTGGGTGAGCTGACAAGCTATCTTGGCTTGCGGATCACCCGGGACAGAGCACGGCGCACCATCACCCTGACTCAGTCACACATGGTGCAGCAGGTTCTCCAGCGCTTCCGCTTCACGTACTCCTCGCCTCAGTCCACTCCTCTGCCTACCGGTCACTCGCTCTCAGCTCTGCCTTCGGATGAGTCCGTAGAGCCGAGTGGCCCGTATCCAGAGCTTGTGGGCTGCCTCATGTACCTGATGACCTGCACTCGACCTGACCTTGCATACCCTCTTAGCATCCTAGCACGCTATGTCGCTCCTGGCCGTCACCGGAAGGAGCACATGGATGCTGCTAAGAGGGTGTTGCGCTACTTGTGCAGTACGTCGGGCATGGGGCTTGTGCTTGGAGGGCGAGACCGGGTTGTTCTCACAGGGCACTCAGACGCTTCTTGGGCAGACGACCAGGCTACTCAGCGGTCGTCCCAGGGTTACACCTTCAGCCTTGGCTCTGGCTCAGTTTCTTGGCGTTCTACTCGCTCTTCTTCTGTTCTCAGCTCCAGTTGTGAGGCTGAGATCTACGCCACAGCCATGGCTGCTCAGGAGCTACGCTGGCTGACCTACCTGCTGACCGACCTCGGAGAGCGGCCTCGTTCTCCTCCAGTGCTGTACGTCGACAACAAGGCTGCCATTGCCTTGTGTGAGGAGCACAGACTGGAGCACAGAACGAAGCACATCGCTCTGCGGTACTTCCTTGCTCGAGAGCTGCAGCAGCGTGGTCAGCTTTGTCTGCGTTACGTGGCCACGGAGGCCAACACTGCTGATGTGTTCACCAAGGCGCTTCAGCCTTGTGATCATCAGCGCTTTTGCACTCTGCTAGGCCTTGTACCTACTGGGCCTCACTTGCTTACCTCTTGACCTTACTTGTACTGTGATCACTATATATATATGCCTTCTTGCTTACTTTTGCTAGGTTGTGATCACTGTATCTCTTACTTTGTTATAAACCTGCATGTGAACTGGTCTTGTGACCGCTTGCTTGTGCTCGGAATTTGTGTGGAATCCTTGAGATCCACCCTGAGCTTGCTTTGCTTTGCTTTGACTGGTCTTGTGACCCTGTGGTTGTTTCCCACTGCGCCTATGGGGGTGTGTCAAACATTGCATGTTTATATTGTCTAGGCTGTAGTGGGTTACACCTTAGGGGGTACACAAAGTTAGGGTTTCCTACTTGTACCAAACTCTGTTCTAGTTCATTCATTCCTGCTCAGTTATTTCTGACAAAACGGAGTGACAGAAACAGCCAACATTATATGTAGCAAACGAATAAACGAAGGAAGAAAGGCCAGAGAAGAAGACAACAAAAAACATGAAGTAATGCATTAATGTGGGAAGAGAAGAAGCAAGAAATAAAGCAAGAAGCAAGCATAATCAAAGGAATCAAGACGGAAGACAAGGAAAGGATGAAGGAAATCCGAAAAGAGTGGAAATAGAAACTAGGAGGAAAAGCTACAAAGAAGGAAGCAAATGAAAAACAAAGAAGTGATAGAAACGCATGTGGAAGAACATGCAGGAGGAAAAGGAAAGAAAGATGAAATAGAAGGTAAATGGATGGGTTGGAAACAGAACGAGAACGAAAACAGAAAAAACAAATAGAGCAGATGGTTGAAATCAAAATAGGGAGAAAGAAATGGAAAACGAAGGGAGGGAGAAAAAACAGATCTGAACAGAAGAAAAGCAAGAGGAAGTAAGGAAGAAAGCATCTACGGGTGGAACGAAAGTATGCATGATTAGATTAAAATGGTAATTCAGTATTAACCTATCAAATGAGAAACTCTCAAAGAACCTACCTTTGCTCAGCTCAGCTTAGTGTTAAGATTAATAATAAAGGCTGAAAAGACATACATACTATTTGGAGGCTGGAAACAAGACGGCAACGGGAGAGACGAGGGAAATACGATCAGGGGAAAAAGGAAGTGATAGAACAACATATAGAACGGGAAGGCATCAATATAAGAACGGCTAACATACATATACTTTTAGACTAAAAAACGACATACCGGTGTGGGTGTGTGTGTGTGTATGTGTGTGTGTGTATGTGTGTGTGTGTGTGTGTATGTATGTGTGTGTGTGTATGTGTGTGTGTGTGTGTATGTGTGTGTATGTGTGTGTGTGTGTGTGTGTGTGTGTGAACAAAGAAGAAACAAGCTGCACTCGCGGGTGGAAAGAAGAGAGACGAAGGGGAAGAACAAAACCCTAAGGAGGTGCAGACTCCGTCTACTAAGCTTTAACATGATGGTAACTAAACTTACCTAACGATCTATGTGTCAGAACAGTAGCTAGAATGCATGAGCCATAGCTAGGGATTAGCCAGCTAGGCAAGAGAGAATGGGCAAAAGAGGGTTTGATTACCAGGCAGGTGGGATACAAGTAGGAAAACCTAACAAGGTTGTACTCACTACAGCATACCCCACTACAGCCTAGACAATTTCAGATTCTAACACACCCCCATAGGCAAAGTGGGGTATAATCAGCACAACACGCAGTCGCAGAATAAGTTCACAAGCACAAGCAAAGCTAGAGGCAGTCACAGAGGGCAAGTGAGGAGGAGGAGGAACTGTGAGAGGGACGCCGCGAAGGGCGACGGGAGCCGCGCGCGGGTCGATGGGGCCGCTGCGAAGGGTGACGGGGAGCTGCGCGCGGGTCGATGGGGATGGGCGCGCGGGTCGACGGGGGGCACCGCGACGGGCGACGGGGAGCCGCTCGCGGGTCCCTGGGGGCGCCGCGACGGAACGAGAAACAGCCGCGCGCGCCCAGGGTGCACGGCGGGCAGGAAACCGCCACACGCCCCGAGCGCATGGCGGGCAGGAAACCGCCACGCGCCCCGAGCGCGTGGAGGGAAGAAAAAAAAAGAACATCGCGCGCCACGGGGCGCGCGACAGACAGTATGGCAGCGGAAGCAGGCGGACCCATTGGCAAGGAGCGTAATCGCTCTGATAGCATGTCAGAACAGTAGCTAGAATGAAGGAGCCATAGCTAGGGTTTAGCTAGCTAGGCAAGAGAGAATAGGCAAAAGAGGGTTTGACTAACGTGCAGGTGGGATACAAGTAGGAAACCCTAACAGGGTTGTACTTACTACAGCATACCCCACTATAGCCTACACAATATCATATTCTGACACTATGGTGACGTGAGCGGCTGGAGTAAATAGACTAGGCGTAACTGGCGGCAGTACATGGAGTAGCGTTAGTAGTTGGAAGAGAGCGGCAAGAAAAACGATTCACGAAACCCTAATGAGGGACATTTCTCGCTAAAGTATTGCACGCGTAAAGCACGACGTGAGGTTTCGATTTGTTCGAGGTTTCGGAAGGTCTAGTGTTCGATTCTTGGCTCCAACAAAATCTGATGTTATTATAGTGTTTTTTTCAGTGTTGATTAGTATGAAACACTACTTTCTTGTTATTCTTCATCTAAAACTATCATGGTTGAAATAAACAGTATCAGTGGTTTCTAAACAAAGACAATTTCGTCGCCTCTTTTTTTTGTTTGTTTGTTTGTTTGTTTTTTTTTTTTTTGGGTTGCGAAGCAACCCTTTACGATCGATTTGGTCAGTTTTTGTTTTTCACATCATTTACATTTTTTTTTTACAAAATGTGAAATAAAAAACTGGACGCACTCGTAGGCTACATACCGTAACCTTCAGAACATAGTTTGTAATTCTACCTAACCGTATTATAATGGGTTAGTGGGGATTTTTATGACGCTATATTGTTTGTGTTTCACTACGTTGCGCTTTATTACCACACTATATGTATATAATATGAAAAAATGAATATGGTGATTGATGGATCTAGATAGATGAGATCATGTTTTATTATATATATTGTATAGATAATATGATGTATTATGAATGGAATATGAGTACTATGAATAATGATTATTACTGCAAAATCATTATGCATATATGATAAAAATGCGTGATAGCTAACAACCCAAAAACTGTGCTACCGCATCCCCTGCCTAGCATGGGGGGGAAGTCAATAGCATAGTCGTTGAATAATCAGCAATCACATGAAACAACACAATCTGTGAAATCTAAAAACAAGGTCAGCCTACCAAATCCAGTTCAAGTGAGCGTACCTCTTCGAGTGTAACTCAATAAACCTTTAGGAAATGATGGAACTGATTCTCATTTTTAAAAACCACAGACATGCATTGCTAATGATATAATGGATGGATAATGGTAGACAAATGCCACACATACGAACACGCACACACACAATCAGACAGACACACACAAGCACACACAAAAGCTCGAAACAAACCAATGCAGAAGGAATTTACGAAGAACAAAAAAATAAAAAAAACAGAAGATGCAAAAGTTAACTATCAAACAGTACAACACAATTAGCCTAATCGTCGCAAATGTGATCGTTCCTATTTTGAAAAGGACCCTCAATTCCTGAATGGTATAGCAAACCCTCTGAAAAGTAGGAAATAGGGGAAAAAAACAAGCATGTGATGAAGGGGGGGGGGGGGGGGAGGCAAAGAATGACATGAGTTACAGAATATGCATTCAAGGAAGGAAACGGAATTAAAACGAAATAACAAATCTTAAGAAGAACAACAGAAAAGCTTATGAAGAAACAACATTTACGATTTACGTTGGCGAGTGAAACAACCGAAATAGGAGAAGGGTGTCAGAATATAAATCGAAACGAGAGGGAAAAACAAACAAAAAAGCAGGTTCAAGGAAGAAAGATAGGACGAAACCGGAAACAAACAAACTATGAAGAGAATGTGAGGTGAACAGATTGGAAGAAGTAACGGAAGCGTACGAAAAACCGAGGAAATTATACAGTGCAATAGAAAGAAATGAGAATAGAACGAATGACAAATAAGCATTGGCATGCAACTCCAGTCTAACCTCTTATATCAAGGCTCAACTCAACTAAAGCTCTACACAACTACGTGTTGTGCAAAACAGATGTAATCCCACCAGATTTAATTCCTGCTCTAAACTATCCATACAAAATAATAAGCAGAATGGACGAATGGTATGACGAGGAAGAAAGAAGGATTGGATACAGAAGCAAGGAGAGAGTAGGGTACAAAAATAACCAAGAACGGAAACCGTCGAAGGTAAGAAAGAAGAAAGAGACGTCTCACATGTTCAGCATAGATGTGTATTAGAAGCAGCAAGTCGACACTTGAACCTCACGTTAACCTACTTGACCATTCCTGGAAGCAGATGGTGAGATAAAGAAGCAAATAAAACAGCTACAAAAGACTTTGACATAGTAAAACAGATTCAGTCGATCATGGCTTCAAAATCAAGTATATAAAATACTATGTAACTTACTAACTAGCGTTTAAGCCGAATAGGGTAGAAACATTTCAAAGCGACGTAAGAGTATGAGTTGCGGCCCTTAAAAACCGACAGAAACAAGAGAATGAAAACGAGAGACTTTCAGGTAGAAAACGGCTTGAAAACGACTAGAGCAATAAGTAAAAATCGATGCACATCTATGAACGATGAGCTGAAATGAATGACTAACTAAATCGTAGATCTTACCATCAACTAAGTAAATCGTAGGTGGGAGCTTTATTCTCTGACCTGGTAGGCTGTTGGGAGGAACGTGAGTAGGAGCAGGACAGGGCACGAGACTAGACTAGCAAGAGGGAGGACGAAAAGACAAACAAATGGTTGAAACCCTAAGCAGTTCACGCACGTCAAATTGTATCGAATAAAAACAAGACTCGACGTTTAACGTCGTATGGGTTGCGTAGGTATACATTTTCAATCTATAAATATTAATATATCATAGATATAAGAAAAGTATAATATGATCAGAAATGCATATTTAGGTGATTGCTACTTTGGAATGGGTGAATGATTAAACGTGCATTTAATGTGCCACCTGTTTGGAGGGTAAAATAGATACCGTAGATGTTGCTTGCGTGTGAGATCAATGATGTTTATTTAAAAATGGATATTACAAATTCCATTGGATATATGAGAAATACAATTATGATTTTATGTTAAGTTGTATATTATGCTTTTGAAATTTAATTTGCTATTTATATATTGGATTTCAATCTATTATATTAGATACAATCTTTCAGCAATTTTGATTTTGATATGGTCATATTGGAACAACCTTAAGCTAAACTGTTTAGATGCACTATTTAGAGTCTCTCCATTTTGTATGAAATTGTCTTAGAAATGATGAGTTGTCTGAAAGATGATTCATCCACAAGCAGAATTGTGTCACTTCTGTAAATTTGACGTGGATTTCATGTGAGCCAAATTGTGGCAGAGTTGATTTTGGTAATACAACTCAAAAGTTACTCAAACCTGCCCAAGCCTCTTAGAAGGAACAAAATTTAAAAGTTGCCACCTTTTGCCCTCGAGTTTGATTTCGAATTTGACACGTAGATCAACTTTGAACCCACCTCAAATTTGAACAAAAATTCTCCGAAGCGCATCCTCTCTTCGAATGCCCCCTCCCCCTTCGAATCCATCCTCCTCATCCATCCCTCCCATCTATCGCTACGCAGCTACTACTCAGATTGATCTCCTCACAAGCTAGTACTAGCATAGAGCAATTCTTGAGAAGCTTTTCTCAAACATTCTTGGCCATTCTTGACAGATTCTTCCAACTACTGAGTGTCGAATACCACAAGCACTACTCAGAGTCTTCAAAGAACTTATAGTGACAATCATTTTGGTAAGAAACACAATGTTTCCTAGGTGCTCGTGCATTGGGCTGCGCTGGTGCATTGGTTGCTGGCGCCAAAGCGCTGCCGGATTTTCGCCATAGCGCGTTGGGCGCTGGCGCCTTGGGCGCTGGCGTTTTGCACTGGCGCCTTATGGGCGCTGGCGCGTTTCGGTGCTGGCGCCTTTGCGCTGGCGCCTTTGGGCGCTGGCGCCTTTGGGCGCTGGCGCAGTGGGCGCTGGCGCCTTGCGCGGGTGCCTTTGGGCGCTGGCGCCTTGCGCGAGCGCGTTTGGGCGCTGGCGCCTTTGCGCTGGCGCCTTTGGGCGCTGGCGCAGTGGGCGCTGGCGCCGTGCACGGTCGCCCTTGGGCGCTAGCGCCTTTGCGCTGGCGCCTTTGCGCTGGCGCCAAACGCAAACCAGCTTATACGTAATGCACAAAAAGGCACCGAAGCCGCAAACGTACTTATAACATCAATTTTCGTTCTGCGACAACTCGTTTGGCACAGTTCGTTGAGTTTCGTTGGTGAACACAAAGGTGAGGAGATCGATTCCTGGCACTACTTTACAGTTGCGTTTTCATCATGCTGTTAAGCGTTTA